ACTTTATTATTTATAAGATTACATGATTACATTCATGTATATAATTTACGGACTATGATTTCTTTGTATTCAGCTGATATTTATTATGATAATTTAAGGAATAGAATATCGACGATGATAAGTACTTTATTTAAATGACAAAGTGATATTTGCGTGATAAAATAAGTTTATTGACTTGATTGATATTGAATTTTGATGATAATGTAGTGTTTATTGCTTAAACATATTTGGATGAGATTTTTGTGTTCTTAATTTGTTGGTTGAATGTTTTTATTGACGGTTGATTTAAAAAATTGAATGGTGTGAATGTGATGATTTCAGCAAAATCTTTGTTTTGGAATGAAGCAATAAAAATCATAAAAATGATATATTTTTAATTAAGGTGCTTTGGTTATTTCAGTAAATAACTTAATTAAGAAAGTTACTTGTTCATTTTTAATTACAGTCATAAAATCTTTCAGTTCATTTTGATTTCTTCAATTAATAATTTGTTTAAACTAAAATCTACTAATAAATTTAAGTATTTTAATTTTTTAAATTTAAGTTAGGAGAACTTATAAATTTTAATTTTTATTATAAATATTAAACCCATAAAAATCAGTACAATCAATTATTCACTTATTGAAAAAATTGTTTAAAAAACTCGTTACTGTGGTGACAAATACAAAAATTAGGTTCGTTAACCAGAGAGCTTTACCTCAAAAAGGTACTTTAATGGAATCTCTCCCTCAAAAAATGACAATTTTAGTGTAAATCAAACGTGGCATATTGGTTTAACTTTTTCTTGTTTGGGTATAAACAGATTTATAAAATCATAAAGTTTATAAATTTTTTTTTTTAAAAAATAAATATAAAAATAATATGAATATTAAAAGAATTAAAAATACTAACAAATATTTTTATAATTTTATTTGGAATATATTTTGACGCATGTATCAATATTTATTTATTTATTTTTTAAGGATTGCTTTCCAAGAAAAGCGATTAAAATAAATTTCCTGTCACTTTCTTACAGCGTGTCAAGAGTAGACCCATGGGGACTCCCCGTTCAACCATCACCTTCCTCGAAACTTCCATTACTTGCTATAAATCAGTAATCGAAGCGATCTATAAGAAAGATTTTGTCTGCAACAAAAAATCCACCAAAGAAAAAGTTAATGGGTTCATCGTTATCGGTGGTTGCTTCTCTGGCTATTATCCGTAGCACAATCAATGAAATCATTCCGCCGGAACTGCGCAAGTACTTGTGGATTCTCTGTCGGCGGTTCTCCTCCGAAGTAACGCTGGTTATTGAAGAATCCCACGATGAATCCAGAAACCATCTCTACAATGCCGTTGTCACTTATCTCGGCGGTCATGTCTTGTTCAGCTCGTCTGGATCGAGCTTCGTTTATTCTTCTCAGCGATTCACGGTGGGCAAGAGCGAGAAGACGAAGAACATCACGTTTGGTCTCGGCAGAAACTCCGAGATCATTGACGACTTTCGTGACGTCCGAATGAAGTGGAAATTCAGCTCCGATGAGAATAATTCCACGCAGCAGAAAGATACGAGCTGGTACGAGCTCTGTTTTGGGAAAGAGCATTTGGAGATGGTGAAGAACAAATATCTTCCTCATATTCTTGAGGTAGCGAAGAGAATTCATACCCAGAATCGGATTGTGAAGTTCCACACGATCCGGCACGACAGATGGGGCGGGCACGGTATCAACTTGGAGCACCCAATGACTTTTGACACTTTAGCCATGGATGGGGAGCTGAAGAAAGAACTGATAGAAGATCTCGACAGCTTCATTAACGCCAAACAGTATTACAAGAAGATTGGTAAAATTTGGAAACGTGGGTATTTATTGTACGGACCACCGGGAACTGGAAAATCGAGCTTGGTTGCAGCCATGGCGAATTACCTCAACTACGATATTTACAATTTGAATTTGTCCGCTGTTAATTCTGATAGCGCTTTGGAGTTTTTACTCCT